AATTTGTTGACAGTGAGACGTGGTAATGAGTTGGCTTTCCTCTAGGTGAGCCAATGGAAGGTAGGGTGGAGTTGGTTATCTCGCATCAGATCTAAGTTGCTGCTGCTTGGATGTATGTTAAACAGTTGGTCATGCTTTACGAGAATGCGCTGGCCAGAGAGTATAGAAATGAATGAGTGAATGTCCGTTTCCACGTTGTTCTAGTATGAGAGAAATTGTGACTCTTCTTTGTAGCGATAATGGCATCCCTGACACACAGACACAAGGTGGTTGAATAGGTCATTTGCAACGCATTCGGAATGGAAGGGAAATATCCTTGAATTGGAATACATTTAGAGATGGCTAGACTTATTTTGTTGGAAATGTTGATTTATATCCCTTAGCAGCTATTTGAACCGTTGCATTATGTAGCTTGCCGTTAACGTCACTCTTCCCCAAAGCATGCTAATGCAAAATGCTGGCCCTCAAAGCTGAAGTGATCAAATTTGTAAAAGTTGCATCCACTTGATGGTATCTAGGCTGTTTGATAACTTGTATTCTTCGTACTTTTTATACTTGATCAGTATACCTTGTTTGTGAATGACCTAGAGGCGTGATGAGAGGTGTAGGAAGAGACAAAGAAGAAGGCGGTATAATGGAGTTGGGGTTGGTTTGTTGTGAGGTCTGGGACCCTGTTTACAAATACTCCATTTCCCCTTTTTTTATAAAAATAGTGCATATACAGATTGGCTTCCTAAATGTTGATCTGGAGGATGTGAGGGATACCTATTAAAGGATGATTAACCAGAGTCTAGCTGGAGCAACTGGATGAGATACTTCGCCAATTTATACAGATTTTGCTCCCTGCACTCCTGTGCTGTTAAGTCACACACTTCCTCTCTGAAGCAATGCGACTTCCCATATCCCTTTAACAGAATGTTGCGTAATACTTTTATTAATACGACCGTGGCATTTAGGTCAGTTTTGGTCCATCTTTCTTTCCACCCACAGAGTTAGGACCAGTACATACGCTGCATGATGGCTGGGTCGTCTATGCGGATATTACCTAAGAGAGATATGTGTGTAGATTTGGGATGATGAGGCAGAAGGGGGTTGTGCCGGATGGGTGAGCGACATGACCTAGTGGAATCACAATGTAACACGCATCAACGAAACATGAAGGGAAAGGGGATAGAAATATGCTGTGAAGGATATTTAAGAGTGATGTGAAGTGAGATGCTAAAGTTTGTTTTACAATGAATGCTTAATCGTGAATTGCGAGGACATTCGTGTGTTTGTGTGCGCAGAGAGTTTGTGCTGGCACCCACATAGCCGCCTCCGATCCAGCTCTCTGATTGGCAGGTTGAAACTGCATTAAAGCCTGTTTGGGATCCCACCGTGTAATTTGCTTTGCACAGAACGTGCAAGTTACCCAGTGACATCGTGTATGTTCCTTTTTCTAATTTTCTCCAAAACTACTAACCATGATTTTAATTTTTAACCTGCTTCTTATATGGGTGATGGAGAAGATGCATCTTTTTCTGTTCCATGCTTATGGAAGCCAAAGCTGTTTTTAGATAAAAAAATGAATTTGATTACCATATCTTCCTGATTAGACTAGTATTTCTAAAGGAATTTTGTAATTTCTTCAGATGTGTAATGCAAAAAACTTGACTTGATCTAAGCATAAAATGAGCGTAACACCGGATTTTTCAACTATTGTTTTCTAATTTTCAGATCTATAACCAAGTTATTACAATGGCAGCTACGTGTCTTCTTCGAGTATTCGTTGGTTATGGGTCTGCCATTTTAGCATTAATTTGTTTTGCTTTAATCACCGGAGCCGCTGGCCAACCCTTAACAGGTTTTGTTGACTCGAGTCTCAACAATCTGGGAGCTTATCAGGCAGTGGATCAACTAGGCTCATTTGGTCAAGGGCAATATCAAGCAGTGAAAGATCAACTGGAATACCCCCTCCAGGGCCAAACGGGTTACTCTTCTTACGGAAATCAAGTGCCCTGCTGCGGGTCATCTGGTTATTGATGCGGTTACGCTAACGGTAACTTAGTCTTTTATGAACAACTGGTCAAACACTAAAGTAGACTGAAGAGCTCAAATGTCCGGTGTGAAATTCTTTGTTAATATTTACTAACGAGTGATTGCCTAATCAGTGCCTCGTATGTCTTGCCACCTTTTCGCCCACATCGCGCATCTCAAGAGCACAGCCGCGATCTTTACCCCACCCGAGGTACCACGAAGAAGGTAAAAAGAGAGGTGTGGGAATGGACTGCGTGCCAACTGAGACCTGAGAGGAGCCATATGCCAAAATCGCATGATATAAAACACGTCTAATGACTACCAGCACCCCACATTTACGGCACCACGATTGTCTTCCCGGGCATGCTTGTCATATAAGTGGAGTAGAACGGCAGTGATGTATGAGTTGGTGAGGTGGCTCACCCATTTTTCAGCTTTGCCCTAATAACTAAAGCCATTTGCAATGTAGTCGCGGCTATGTTAAATTTTCTCTTCCTGTTTCTACTTTGAGGACCGCCATAGTAGGCGATCCCATCAAAGTGGGTTTATAGACACAACAAAGATATGGATGTACGATGAGAGATAGTGCGCGCAACACTAGATTTTTGAAAGGTGCAAAATTGTGAATGAGAATATAACGTGATATGGATACTGAATCATACCAAATCAGCACAGAGGGAAACGAAATTGCATCACTTTTAATTACTTTTCAGTGACTGCTTGACTGGGTAATCTCTTCACTCTCCGTCGTCTCCACTGTCTCAACAGGCTACTTGGTCTCCACTCCCCTGCTCTCTTCATTGTCACCCAGCCCACATCCTCTCTTCCCATC